CCGAACGATACCTTGGTTTCGCTTGGTTATTTAAAAATGTAAAAGTTTTTGAAAGTGTTCATCACTGCCATTTTGTAGCTTGATTTAATAGAAACTTGATGGGCAGATTTTTCTTGGTACAGAAGCATTAATTTAAACGCCTGGAGTTAGAGCTTCTGCAACCAGAAGCTATTTGTTTTAAACCATTTTTACCCCATATAATTTTTTGCTAAAAAATCTTTGAAACAGAATTGCCTTAATTTTCCGCCAATGACAAAAAATGATCCTAAAACGGTTTACTACCTAATATCAAGCGTCTATGATATCAAAAGGCATCAACATAACCTTTTGTCTGGGTGGAAATCTTAAGTAAGCTTTCATTACAATGACTAAGAAAAACTCATTTCGAGAAGCAAGTTAGCTGCCTATGCGTGTTTTCTGTCGAAAACTTTGATATTCGAGAGTAGGTTTGAAACACCAATAGGCAAACGGAGAAAATTTGGGCACACATATCTGAAACAAAACTTTTGTGGGAGCAAAACAACAAATTTTGTATAGTTGGAAGGGTGAAAATTGATTTCATATTGAGTATTACTTAGATTTTTTCATCAATATCACCGTGAGTACTTTAGGGAGGATAGGGCGTACAAGCTTCAAACTCTAAAACTTATTCGCTCAAAAATGTTTACGACATTATCTTATGGCTTTTTTTTGTATATTCGGGTCGACGAGCGTCTCGCGCCTTTTTTTTCTGTTTTTATCTATCCTCAATGTTTAGTATTTATTGGCGTTGTAGGCGCCTATAGATAATAATAATAATACGGTTGGTTGACCCAAATGGATGTTTTAGTATAGTATCAAAGAAGGGACCCTTTGGGTCGTCGAAGGTGGGAGGGGTTGGCTTCCGCCTCATGTCTATTTTTCCAGTAATCCACATTTAAGTGCTGCCTTATAACTGGTTGACTGCCGGGCTGATTTAGGCCCAGAGACGATCCATGTATCAAGATAACATACCAGCGACTGACTGGACCAGTGACAGTGTCTGAGAACTGGAACCCATTGGCCAAGCACCTCCCATGGTGCATCCTCACTTCACACCCCCTCAAGCGCAGACCAGAGGGCAACACAGACAAATACGATGTAAGTTGAGGGGGGTGGGGGCTAAAACACAACAAAACAACAACAATCAATTTTATAGTAGGGGGATAGTGGATACTGGAATTGCGTAATCAAAAGCTTGTGGATATCCCTGGGGTGAACCGATGGCAGTGGGCAAAGTTTAGGCAGTAGGGCACGGGAAGGGAGGGGCGAACAAAATGAATTTTTTTACTTACAGTTATTTTCTATCAATTTTTTCAGTTCATTACACTTGCGAAGCAAAGTGTATTAGTACGAGCTTTCTATTTTTTTTCCAACCTAAGTCGCAAATATTGGTGCCACTTTTAGGGCCTCTTTGCAGCTTTTTGATAGAATGTGCTTTGACATTGGAATAGTAATAAGTTAACTCAGTTGATGTATTATAACCTCATTAAATGAACCGAAAAAAGCTACTAGTTTCAGAGAACATGACTAAAGCTTAAGCGTCGATTTAATCCGTCTTAGACTTCGTTCCCAATTGGTTGAAGCAGTCTATTTGCCTTAATTGATTTGTTATTAGGAGCGGAATCTATCATTTTGTACTTTATATGGTGTGTGGCGGATGATTTTCACAAAAATCTCAAATTAAAAAAAAAATCATTTCTTATTACAATTGTCTTTTATGTTATGACTGCTCCATAGACCTCAAAAGTCAGACCTCAAACATTCAGTGCCTCGCCCTGATACGAGCAGTCTTGTTATCTTTAAATTTTTACGTGCAAAGTTGTGTCTTTTTGTATTTGGTGCTACTTTTGTTACATTGAATTGGCAATTATTTAACATATGTAGCTTCATTTGTGGCTAGTTTTTGGGATTTTAAGCATCCGTGGCTGAGTCTTCATTGTATGAGGTTGTGGTGGTGCTATCGTTATGTAACCTCATTAAATGAACCGAAAAAAGCTACTAGTTTTAAAGAACATGACTATAATTAAAATTCAGTTTCAGAAATTTTCTTATTCAATGTATCTCGAAATTTTTGAAATCAATAATTTATACATAAGGTGACTTTATGCTTTCCGATTTCCTACATAAAAAGTTAGTGTGGATGCCTTCAGTTTGTTGTTCCGACTTTTGTAACGAAAGTAACGGAATATTAGTGCTCGGGTGGTTTTTCTTCAGACAAATTTCGACTTTTTAACTAGTCATGTTTTGACAAATTTTTCAAATTCATTTGAAAGGTTTTGTTGTGCTAAATTTTAATTTGAAAAGGTATTTCACCTGTGATTATTTTCTGTAATGTTATGAATGTTCAAAGATTGCCATTTTGGCCAGTTTGGGACAATTATCGCGCGATATATTTCGCGCTATTAAAGCTTAAGCGTCGATTTAATCCGTCTTAGACTTCGTTCCCAATTGGTTGAAGCAGTCTATTTGCAGTAATTGATTTGTTATTAGGAGCGGAATCTATCATTTTGTGCTTTATATGGTGTGTGGCGGATGATTTTCACAAAAATCTCAAATTAAAAAAAATTCATTTTTTATTACAATTGTCTTTTATGTTATGACTGCTCCATAGTCCTCAAAAGTCAGACCTCAAACATTCAGTGCCTCGCCCTGATACGAGCAGTCTTGTTATGTTTAAATTTTTACGTGCAAAGTTGTGTCTTTTTGTATTTGGTGTTACTTTTGTTAAATTGAATTGGCAATTATTTAACATATGTAGCTTCGTTTGTGGCTAGTTTTTGGGATTTAAAGCATCCGTAGCTGAGTCTTCATTGTATGCGATTCTGGTGGTGCGTTCGTTATGTGTTAGAATAGATCTCGTGTAAAAGTTAAAGGTCCTTGTCCTAGTTGATGTTGACCAGTGCTTGATAAAGTTATGTTCGATAATACATTGTTGAGTTGTCGTTACGATCTGATTTGAAACAGTATGTTCTTAGACTGAATTAACATTCATAGCACCTATTGTGTTTTGAGTTAAGGAAGTATCATTTGGTTCCCATGAGTAAGATTTTACATCACAGCCGTAGAATACACTTACTTTATGGCGCAGTCAGCAAAAGTACCAGTGGACGCGATTAATCTGCTTGAAATATCGATTTTTTGGGACATACAGACGACACAACTACCGACGGAGTGGCGTAGATGAAGCAATGTTTTAAGATTAGGGTTTTTTTTTGCGAAAATAGGCATAACATTGAATGCGTTATTAGGGCCGAAACCGACAGCAGTTTCTTTACCAACAGCTCCAGTAAAGGAACCAGCCCTAGATGGCGAACCGGCTACGAATACTAGAGATGATAACATTCGAAACGCACAGTATAGAACAGGATGAGAGATCAAATGTGAAGATGTCCTAATTGTAGGAGTGTTTTGCGATATTTTTCCATGGGATACGGCGATGAGAAAAGCCAAGTCACTCATGTTTTTTGTCACTAGGAGAGGTACAAAACCATTTCGCGAGACGTTATCCGAAGGTGGATATCAATGACGATTCCATTAGAAGGAGGAAGTTTTAGTAGAACATGGTGGCGTTTTTCCGAAAACCGAAGGCTCGAAAGATACGTACTTTTTCACGAAAACAAGCAAAACGGAAGTTTTTTTAATTAGTTCTACTGTCACCTGAGGGGCTTCAGAAGATTGTAGTTCGGGCAGGAGAAGTTACAATGGTCAGCGATATATTTCTTATCAAAAGGTCAATATCAAGATTCAGGAAGAACTCATGAACGAGGTGATGACTCAGGAAAGGACTCTAGAGTATGCATTATTATTAGAGCAGACACAGAAGAACACGATTTTGCAGATCGTTTTAAGAGTCCAAGTTCAAGATCACAACATGGCCCAATCGGTTTGCTTGCTTTGCTTGGAACCTGAGATTCGAAGTCAATCAAATACTTCCTATCATCTGGAATGCACTGGAAAAGTGGACATCTAGTTTCAGATTCCCTCAGTTTTGAAGTAAGCGGCGGAAATTCTTAGATGCACTGATTTCCTCAAAATAAAATTTGCTGGCAGACTTTTTGGCAAAGAAATTTTAGTCACTAGTCAGACCTTCAGAGGTAATTCCATTTTCTCATGAAAGGCAAGATTTTCAGAAACTGGTTAAAACTTGTTTAAAACAAATTTAAATTATTTCAGAGTGCTCTTGCTCAATACATTGCTCATCAAAAACGAAAATTTAGTTTGAAGCTAAAAAATTTTTTATCATACAAAATATTATTTATTATTGCTTCTACGTAATGAAAGACGGCATCCCCAGCCGTAAAGTTGGATCTCATATTCTGATATTCAGTGATTTGAATGCGAGAATCAGTAAGGAGCAATTGACCGAACTGAGACCACAAGCTGGTGCCTGGTCTGCCGACCAAGAAACAAACTCAAACGGTGAGAAATTGCTGGAGTTTTGTTCGACACACGATTTAAAAATCGTGAACACGTTATTCAAGAAGCCTTTAAGTAGGCTTATAACGTGGCGTCATACTAGAGGCTCAGATACAGTCATTGATTATAGCTTGTCCGATCGGAACACCGTCTGGAGAATTTGAGAGCCTGTTGGGGAGGTAGCTCCGGGCATTACTGAGATCATGCTCAACTTGTAGGTGTGATCTTACCTCCGAAAGAACCAGGCAAAAAGGCGTTTGGTGGTGAAAGCCTTCTCAGAAGAAGCTTAAAAGGAAGTCTCCTGGACTACGGTCCAAAATCAATACCTGTATGAAATCGGCTCACGGTCGCTCATTCTTAACATCAGATAACCTCTTGTCCCACACTGACTCCATTGAGAGCCTCAATAGAACTCCAAGGAGTTGGTGTGCAATGTCCATGCCAGGTTACCGGTTCCGGAACCTGAGGGAAAAGAGGGTACGTTCTTTAAGTACTTAAATACTGAACATCGTTTGGTATTCAAAGAAAGAAGAAGTGTACAAATTCAGATTCTAAACAACAGAACTGACGAATTGGTTGCAGCAAGGAAAAGGCTAAATTTGAAGTGCAACAAGCTGAATAAGTTTAGCACAAAATGAGATATTAGAGAGCGGCCTGGAAGGATTTCAAGACAAGCTTGCCCTCAGACAAACGCGTGAAACGTTTAAGGTGTTGAAAGAGGCTCTTAGGAGTGTTCGTTTGAGTTGGTTGGAGAGAAGGAGCAAAGCTGAAGTCAGTAATGTGAAGTTTCAAAAGCATTATGAGAATCTGTTTACGAACAAACCGGCGAGTGAAAAGTTTGTGGAAAGGTCACTACCAGGGGCGAAAAGTACTAAAGGGGCAGAGGTACTACAAGCCTTGAGATAAATCAACTCGGGCAAGGCTCCCGGTGAGAGTCAGATCACCAGTGACCATCTTAAGTTGCTCGAAGAAAGTTTTCAATCCTCTCAAAAAGATTTTCACTGATATCTGGCTTGAGCCGGGAAAAGTTCCCCAAATTTGGAGGGAAGCAGTAATACTCAATCTGTTCAAGAAAGGAAGCAGAGCAGAACCGAACAATTACTGGAGCATTTTCCTTCATGACCAAGTTGGCAAAGTTTTCGCGAAGGTGATTGCAAATAGGGCGAATAAGCAGCTGCCGAATATCTCACCCTATCATTTAGGGTTCCGAAAGCACACATCAACAGGCCAATCTATCTTGGCAATTAGATGTTTGCTTCAAAGAAGGATTGAAAAACGTCAAATTTGTATGACTTTCATTGACCTGAAGAAGGCTTTTGATTCTATTGATAGGGAAGTGCTGTTTTTCGTCCTAAGGGATTTTGGAATCTCAGGAGATATCATCAGTTTGATTGAAGCGCTCCACAGCAAACCCATCGGCAAGATTGATAAGGATAAAACTTTTGCAGTGAACTGGAGGGTGCGTTTTGGGCCCACTGTTGATTATCATCCTTTTTGACTTCTCCTAAGTAAGACCAGTGGAGATAAAAGAAACTTTGCATACGCTGATGATCTGGCTTTCAATTTCTGCCGAGAAAACTAAAAATATCGTGATAAATAACAAAGACAATAATAATGTTCCTATCAAATTACTCAGTAAATAGGTAGAACAGGTTAATCACTTCGAGTATCTCGGCAGCATC